CGTAAATCAGAGAAGCGGGACACTCGACCAGGCGTTCCCCAGGGAAGTGTGTTAGGACCTCCCAAGCTGAATGCTCAAAGAAAACACATTAATAAATTAAATAGAACTGCACTTAATTTCTTACCCCATTGGCTGCTGTTTTGTCTTGACACTCAACTACGTCTAGTTTTGTTGTTGTTGTTTTTGTTGTTGTTATTGTCATCTTCATTATCATTGTTGTCATTGATAATGTTGTTATGATCATTGTCATTAGTATTAGTATTATCATTATCGTTGTTATTAGTAGTATTATCATCATCGTTGATATTAGTAGTGTTATCATTATCATTGTTATTAGTAGTATTATCATTATCATTGTTATTAGTATTATTATAATTCTTAATATCATCATCACTATATTTCTGTAACCATTATTATCACGTGAGTCGACCTTCTTTGGGTTATTCACTTTATATCTCCCTAACAGCCTTGGTATAATGACCATGAAAGTTGAAGAATATAATAACAAATCAATTAACTCAAAATTTCCGGAGGTTATGGAAATTGATAAGAAAAATCCATATTATATAAGCCGTATAGTTATTTACTGCTACCACATACAACCCACAACACAACCGTTTTGAGGGAAGAATAGATGAAACCCGCGCCTGTTGTTTACAAAGTGGAATTCATTCACAAGTTTATAAATTCATTCATGGGGGATTTTGCGAGTAATATAATTTCCCACAGTCAGAGAGGAGTTTAGAGGGCGGGGAGGCTGGTGTCAACTCGGTTTGTTAATTGAGATAAGATACTAGTAAAAGAATGAGTGGGATAAACATGTATATGTGTGTGTGTGTGTGTTTTATATCTATTAATATTGTGATATTATATATATATATATATATATATATATATATATATATATATATATATATATATATTATATATATATATATATATTGTATTGCATGTATATTATGTATATATATGTGTGATACACACACACACACACACACACACACACACACACACACACACACATATATACATACACATATAATATATATATATATATATATAATATATATATATATATATATAATTATATATTTACATATACGTAGACACATACACACACATATGTGTGTGTACACATACATACATGTGTATATATTCATACATCCGCGTGTGTGCCTGACTATGTAACTGTGCATTCATAAAGAGAGACAATCAGACAGAGAATAATCGCAGTAAAGACAGACAGAGCGCAAAATAGATGAACGGGAAGAGAGAACACAGCAACAACAGGATGAGAGTGACAGTGAAATCACACCAGGTTTAGGGGCTTCAAAGAACACAGGCCCTTGTCCTTCTATCTCTCCTGCAACTCGGGCGACTTTGCACAAACCGGGGGACAAATGGCATGGCAGAGAGACTGGATGACTCAACAGGGGGATGAGTCGTTGCAAAAGGTTGTGGATGGATGACATACGATGAGTGAAAGGAATGAGTGAAAGGTTGTTGTTTTAAGAGAGAGAGAGATGGATTGAAGAAAAGTTTGGGAGAGAGATTGAGATAGGAAGTTAACAGAGAGAGAGAGAGAGAGAGACTAACATGTGAAGAGGGAGAGAGAGAGAGGGCGAGAGAGAGAAGGAAAAAATGAGACAGGAGAGAAAGAGAAAGAGAGAGAGATGAGAAGACACAGATAGAGAGGAGAGAGAGAGAGAGAGAGCGGGGAGAGAGAAAAGAAAAAAGAGTGAGACAGATAGAGAGAAAGAGAAAGATAGATAGAGAGATGAAAGACAAAGAAAGAGAGAGAAACAGAAAGACAGACAGACAAAGAGGAAAGAGAGTATGACAGAGAGAGAGATGAAAGAAAAAAAAAGAAAGAAAGAGAGAGAAAGCAACAGAAAGGATCATCAAAGGGAAGGAATATAAGGAAAATGGGGAAGAAGAGAAACGGAAGATAGGAATGGAAGGAATATAAGGAAAATGGGAAAAGAAAGAATTGGAAGAAGAGAAATAGAAGAAAAGAAGAGAGAGGAGGAAGAAGATAGGAATAAAGGGAGTGTAAGGAAAATGGGAAAAGAAAGGATTGAAAGAAAAGAGATAGAGGATAATGGAAGAGAAAGAAAGAATATAAGGAAAATGGGGGAAGAGAGGATGGGAAGAAGAAAAATGGAAGGAAAGAAGATAAACGGAAGGGAAGAAGAGAGAGGAGGAAGGAAGAAAAGGCAGAATAAAAGGAAAAAGGGAAAAAAGGATGGGAAGAAGAGAAATGGAAGGAAAGAAGAGAGAGGAGGAATGAGATAAAGGAAGGATAAAGGAAGAGAATACAAGGAAAATGGGGGAAGAAAGGATGGGAAGAAGAGAAACGGAAGGAAAGAAGGAAAGGAATATAAGGAAATTGGGGAAGAAGAGAAGCGGAAGAAAAGAAGAGAGAGGAGGAATGAGATAGAAATGAAAGGAGTATAAGGAAAATGGGAAAAGAAAGAATTGGATGAAGAGAAACGGAAGGAAAGAAGAGAGATAGGGGAGAAAGAAAGAGAAACACAGAATATACGGAAAGTGTGAGAAGAAAGGATGGGAAGTAGAGAGATGGGGAGAAAGGAAGAGAAACACAGAATATACGGAAAGTGTGAGAAGAAAGGATGGGAAGTAGAGAGATGGGGAGAAAGGAAGAGAATAGAGAAGGAAAAGAGGAAAAGGGAAGGGACAAGAAAGGAGGAAAAGGGAAGGGACAAGAAAGGAGGGAAAATGGGGAGGAAAGAAAGGAGGGAAAGGGAAGGGACAAGAAAGGGGAAAGGGAAGGGACAAGAAAGGGGAAATGGGGGGGGGGAGAAAGGAGGGAAAGGGAAGGGACAAGAAAGGAGAATAAGGGACAATGAAGGAGAATAGAATTACTCTTTCTCTTTCGAAGTAAAATGAAAGAGAAAGCGAAACGGAGAGAACATGGGAGAGAGGAAGAAGTAAAAAAAGAATAAAAGAGAGGAGATAGAGGAAGTTAGGGAGAGAGGGGGGGACGTGATGAAGAGGAGAAAGAAAAGGAAGAAGAAAGAAGAGGAACATGG